GCCCCTGAAACACATTGAAAATGCCACCCCCCTGAGTTGATGTGAGTTTTACTAGTAATGTTCTCCGTTTACCTCTTAGACATGCGCATTTAAGCCAACGCGTGCACGCGTTGTATGTAAAAGCCCCATCACGCACGTAGCAGCCGGCGGCGCAAGTCTAATAGCCAGACCCTAACAGCGAGAGCAGACGAAGCAGCACGTATGATCAAACTGCTGGTTTAAGAGTTGTGCCGGTTTCAAAGGCTTTGACGTAACTTCAGCCTGGAGTAAGGTGGGTGCGATCAGAATATTTGCGTAACAACACGTGACACACTAGAAGGACAGACATACGCGCATTTGTGGGTAGAATCCCACTTATCGCGCCACCGAAAATCGGTGATTTGAATTGACGAACTCTAGTATAGACAGGCAATACTAGACCAGCGAGTGGACATGAATGACCCAGGAGGAAACAGAAAATGAAAACGCGGGAAAGCGAAACGGAAGACGGGGGCAATGTGACCACTGACGAGTACGGGAAACAGGGAAACGGGCAGGTGTTCTGCTCAGCATCACCACAAGTGAGTTAGACATCCTTCTAAATCCGGACCGAAAACTTGATGAGCTAGCTAGTTAGCAAAGTAGCACAAAAACTCTCTATAGTAGGACGAATGCAGGGCATTTTAGCGCGGCGGGAGCGAGCACACTGTGATTGTATCTGCATGAGCCATCCTAGCCTATGTACTAACTTGCACTCTGGAGCCAAAGAGTAGGTACATAGCATATCCTACAGCCTCGGATCAGGCAGAGTGCAGCGAATGCCGGCGAATGGACGTAGACGGTCTCTGGCAGGCTAGATCGCGCATCGCAACGTTATAAATAAAATCTAAAGGCACCCCTCGGCAAACTTCTGCATGCGCGATACTGTGTCTTCGCTAGTAGCCCGCAGAGAGTCGGACAAGCCTATGTTGCAGTAGTAGATAGCCATGCGGGCCCGACGTCGATCCTCGTTGCTGACTTCCGCAGCAGCGTCACACAGAGAGCGATGCGCAGATCACGTCGAAAACGACGTAAAGCCCAGTGCTATATATTTTCCGACGTGTTTTCTCACGGCCTATCTCTCGAACGGCGTCCTTTTCACGAAATCGCCTTATATAGTTTGCAGCTCGCGAGTTTCGTTTAGGCGCTGGTATCGCTAATAGGCGGCGCTACGTATGCGTGTTATGAAGCGGCGAGAAACTCCAACCCTCGCTGCGCAGTGCGACGCCCATCACGTATCAACGCAGTAAAACGTAGTATAGCTTAGTTACAGACGAGCGGTACGGAATCGCAGCGCGTTCGACCAGTAGGCGTAGCTCGCTCCCGACACTACGCCAATTATACTTCGCCGCGTATGTACTACACTAATTTCGGGCGGTCATGATCTAGACAATCCTCAACCACTGCTGTGAAACGTACCACCAAGTTGTATAAGCTGTCCCCTGTTCACAGCCGTTCGCAACCAGTATGTAACCCTCGACGCGCATGCGCAGCGAGAGGTTACGGGAGTGTCGTAAGTGTGTCTGTCAGTCTGTCATTCTGTCATTCTGATCATTCTGTCATTCTGTCTACCCTCGGGCGCATGCGCCAGCGAGGGTACTGTAGTTGGGTCTGTCTCGTTGTCTGTCTGTTAGTCTATATCTCACTCCTCGAACGTCTGTTCGTCCCAGAAACGATACCATCTACCCAACGGCGACGAAGGTCAGAAATCAAAGGCGGTTTCTCTGAACATGCGTCCGTTGCAAGCTGCGCGCGAAAAGCCAATATGACAACTACACAACGGACGGATGGCCTCCACAGCCCGGATCGATATACTAGTAGTGTCAGTTAGCCGACGTCAGACTCAATTGCGTGAGCTGTCAGAGACCACGCAGTCAACAGCCTAAAACTAACCCAGCCCATCAATTGAGTGCGATTACGGCGCATGCACGTTTACTTACGCTCCAACGTACGCGCGTCACAGATGCGTCGAGGGTTGTTTGCACTTCAGTGCCCGTTTTCTGTCTCGCGTAGCGCCACGTTTTGCTGCCACCGCGACCAAGCGGCACGAAATGCAGGTAAATCACGCGACATGACGGGGTCTCAGGACTACACTGGGTTCGATTGGTAAAATGACGATTTGGTGGAAACATACTGCGCATTACTAAAGTTCATATAGCGTGCGAAACCAAGTGCACAAGCCAATAGCCGTATTAGCCCAGGCTTGACTCAGACATGCGTCGCGCGCGCTCTCTGTAGTATCGTGCAGGCACAAGAGTCACAACAGGCCAAGGGTATATGTATCGACTCCCGCATGCAATCTACTACTGCGATAGACCTAAGCCCGCGCTGCCAGACTCTCCGCCCACGCGAGCTACTAGCGGATATCACGAGTAAAGAAAGAGAAATGCCAGCCCATCAATTAGTTCGGTACCGCGAGGCGCATGCGCCAGTTCGCCCCGAGCAGATGTTGCACTTTAATTCGGAGTAGAGAGGACAGCTCTCGCACGCGATGTCGACGCCACCTGCCGTAAGCGTGTTAATTTCGCATCTGCAACATTGCATGAAGTTCAACGAAGGAGAGGATACTGTATGGACATAGAATGAGATGGCGATAACATCTGGGAGAGTGTGCAAAAGTCGCTTACCAAGTCTAGCCAGCATCTCCGTTTCTCTAACGTGTCATCAGGACAAGATCTAGAGTGGCTATATAAAGAAATTTTACATGGTGAATCTTAGCGAGTGGGCGCGGCCACTGGACGATGAAATGTCAGTAGCCTTGCTCTGCATGCAAGTTGAGGTTTTGAGTTGTTGGAAAAAGGAGCATGGAGCCTTGAATATCTCACCTGGGACAGGGTGAAAAGTATCTTCAACAACTGCGCACTACATCGTGAAACAAGAAAAATGACAAGCGCATCTATGGCATCAATTCTTGGAAGAAGAGAACTTGTCATGAAAGAGAGAAATAATCACGTGGTTCAAGGACCTGATTTAACAAACAAGGAGAGCAATCAGGGTTGACAATTCGGTCAATCGTTGAAACGGAACAATCCTTGACCAACTTGCTAGGATCGCCTCAGAGTGTGGGGCTGCCGTCAAGGACCAAGCCACGCCAGTTTGGTGCTACCAACAAAAGAGTGCATAGGCATGAGATTGACATAATTCATTTCTCTAAAAAGGTAATGCAAAAATAAAACCCAGACCATCACACGTGGCCTGGTTCTGACCTGAAACTGATGACATTGAAAAGTCTCGATCATACATGCTTTGCATGATGACGGTTCCTTGCTAACACAACTAACCGATTCTGCTGGTTATAAGAACAGCCCAGCCCCCGTATATAGAAACCATAAAGTCAAAGATACAGACCGGTTTTACTGCTAGTAGGCGGTGACGTCATAGGATGATTTTCTGCGCCACTGCGGTCGTCCGCGAGATAAATGCTCGGCAATCATACGAGTGCGCATGCGTGTTCGGCCTCACGCGTGCCCCATCGGTGGCCTAGGCCGGCCTGCACAGTGATGATCCCCTACATTATGGTGTACCTCTTGCACTAAGGGATTTTGTGGAAGTGAGAAAGAGTAATAAAAAAGGCAATGAAAATCATTTTACACATGCATGATAACTGACGTACAGTTGAATCACGGTTGAACACAGAGAATGTACAACACATTAAAACACATTGTTTTTAGCTATTACAATACTTTTTTGAAGATGATGGTTGTGTGATCAATTTAAAGTAGTTCTTGCTAGGCCAGTTCGTCCTCATTGATCTGGCTCATAGCCAGCTGGTAGTTTTGATAATAACGTCGTCGCATGAGGTAGACCACCGTAACCACGACAATAATTATCACCAACGTCAGCAAGACAACAAACAGAACTCCCACACTCAGTCCAATAACTGCAACAAACACACAGATACTTTAAAACTACTGCATATTATGTTATCCAAGGTTTAACAATATTATAGCTGTATTCAGTTTGCATGCAGACCTAAATTTAAGTACGGTGGAACCTCTGAGCAAGGGACACTATGGGGCCAACGATTTTAGCTATCTCAGAGGTTAAAAAATACACTAAATTATTAGCATGGATTTTAAGCAAGTGTGCTTTGTAGAGAGAGGTCGTCCCTATCTCATAGGGTCTCTTATCGGAAGCTCCATTGTAAAAAATCAATAATGTACGTGCAGGTTTTCCAAGAGAGTTGTAACTAATTTGCATACTGTATTCACCCACCTAAGGCAGCGGTCGTGCCAGAGGCAGCGGGCGTGCCAGAGCTACAAGAAGTTGTTGGGATGTAGGTACGGTTGACAAACGGTAGATCGCTGATGTCATTCATGGCCTTACAGAGGTCACTGCTGTCAGGACACGTTACACCTGAACAAACAAAGACATGAGGACAAAAAGACATTTAATCCATGCATGAATAGTTCAGTACATAAACGACAAGCAAAAACAAAACGAAAACGTGAGCTGTTTAATAAACTACTTTGAAATGCAACACATAATATGTAGGGGTAAACTTTCATGGAATCAGCAAAACTGAATGTCAAAACAGGAGTCCGCAGCTATACTATTTTGTCTCCCATTGCATGATACCTAAAACTTTTCTCCTAAAGGGAGGGAGCTAGTAAGAGCAATGAAAATGGAAGAGAAACCGGTGAAAATTTAGAAGTGAAGAGTAAAGGCCCACCTGAGCCTGGGCCACAGCCAGTGGTGTCAATTGGTATAACTGTGTAAGGAATAAGAGGAGTGTTCCTTAAACTAGACTTGTAATCAACCTGGAAGAAAGAGAATAAAAAAGATAAGAGAAATAATTGTAATAGAGCAATCATTAGCAGTGGAATCATAGATGGTTAAAACGATAGTTTCCAAGAGTTATAAAGGTCAAAGCCGATACAGTTCTACTTCCTCTTGTAGTTGAGGAAAATCATGAAAATAACTTTTGATTGAGGGTATTTTTGTTATTTGCACACGGAAGTAGAGCAGGATACGAGTGCTGCTTTGACATAACTAACCTGAAGACCAGTGCTATTACTGGAGCACAGCTGGCCAAGCGTCACATTCAGCGCAGCTCCTTCTTCTGGGACACCTTGCAAAGGGACCACCTCAGAGTGGTCAAACGTGTGGTCGAAGGTGGTGGAAAATGCAGTCCCGAGAGTGATTCTGACGGCGGGGGGGTGGGCACAGCGGAGGATTCTGAGAGTTAGGTCCTTTCCTTTGCCAATCGGACAGGTGAGAATGGAGCAGTTTTTGGCCACGGGGAAGAAGCAGGGATCCCCTGTCGAATATGACAGCGCTGTCTGGACATACCGCATGGCCGAGCATGTTGAGGTGGGGGCTAGATGAAGGAGAATTAACAGGTTGAAGAGAAATGAAATGGAAACCAAAATAGCCTTTCGCCTGCTGGATCCTCTCTTAGAGTGTTACGTGTGGACACCATGCATTATAAAGGCAATGTGCCTAGGGGGAGGGCCTAGTAAAAATGTACTCATTAACCCCCAGCGTGCATGCGGAGCGAGGGTTACAGTAGTTGGTTTGTCTGTCTGTGTGTCTGTGTGCTACTAGCATGGACACGACGACTAAGTGCATACTCTTAGCCCAACCCATCAATAAGCGGTACTGCGCATGAGCAGTGTGCCGAGGGTGTGCATTTCAGTGCTTTTCATTGCTTCAGGTATGAATACCCTTGTTACTGTTTTGAGTCAAAAATTCGGTTACCCATGCCATAAGAACAAGAGCTATATAAGAACAATGGAAAATGCTGACCGAAAATACTATTCAGCTTTAAATTCATGGTTCTCTGTATCTACAGTCAAGTGCACTAATAAGTGGGAGCCAAGAGTTCTTCCTCTGGTATATGGTAACTTTACTAATATACATTCCAGCAAACTAATTAAGTACAGGTTTCACCATTTTACTTCACCAGCATGTGCCAATGGCAGTGGAGAGAGGGGGCTTTAAAGTAGGAGAGTGACTAGGAAACCATTGCATAATATTACATAGACTCACCTGTTGTGGGTGGGGCTGAAGTGAAACAAGAAGACTTGTCGATGGGGATGACAGTTTTTGTAATGATACTATAGCAATTAAACGGAGGGGGAGGGGTTGGTGGACGGGCCAGCTCAAATACCTGTACATTCATACAATGACAGAGAAACAAAAAGGAATTCATGGAAGCATTTGTCGTACGTGAGGTACAAGTTGCCGGAACAAATCACGAGTCCCGAGGGATTTATTTACCGATCACTGACATAACATAAATAATTTATGTCATCATTACCCGCAATGCTGCGGATAATGGCGCAAAAATTCTTGTTCGTCTGGAGCTAAACCCATTTTCCAACCAGTTCTTCCCGCTTCACCGCCATTTTGTGGTCAATCTCACGCTGGTCTCGGTTTCTTCTCCGTCGCTCAAGCGCTCTTCCCACCATCCCCTGCTATGATTCACAGGAAGCTGATACAACACTCTTAAGAAGTTGATATACATAGCACGCACTATGCCTGTTTCGCACTAATAATAGTGTGTGGTGGTGCTTTTTATCCACCCACGCATGACGACATAAACTTTATATACATCAGTAGACACTGTGCAAAAACAACACAAACTAAAATGGAATAGGGATAGAAAAGAAGCCACTTCAACAGTGTCCAGACAGTTAATATAGTGAACAGGCAAAGCTCATTGGCATTATGCATAATTCACTCAAGTTCCACTACACACGTATATATGTATTTGTAGCCAAGAAGCCATAGACATCAAAATGCCACGTACGCGGGTCTCCGTACCACTGACCGCACCCAACGAGTATCCGACCGACAGAGACGGCTAAAAAAGCAACAAAAAAAACATTCTGTGTCGTGGATCTATAATATACCATTCTTACACACATGAAGTAATACTAAACCACCACCGTATCGCTGAGGCGGAGAGTCGGTCCTGGGGACCGCGGGCGAGCGCTGTTGTCCGCGTTCGAACGGTGGAACAGCGTGTGCGATTGGCAATGTGTAGACCTTCACTAGAACTGCCTACCACGGTGTAACGGTGTTCCTGGGTTACAAAACGGTTAACCCACAGGCACTGAAGCGGTACTGGATATCTCCTCAGCCGTTTTTCAATACCATCCTCGGGCTCCGCCGTCGGACGGTATTGAACGGCTTCGCGTACATCACGTAGCGCTATATAATTATTATAGCCCGCTATGGAGCGCCGAATGGGACAAACATCGTCGTGTGCCCGTGGGTTAACCATTATATAACCATGACTTCTGAGAAAATTGGTTAATAATTGCTGCATGATGCCTCAATTTTGTAGTGTACCAATAGGGTCCAGTTCAAGAGTACTGTTTTAGCTGCACTACCCATAAATTACCCTTGGACTGCCTCACTAAGATACAGTAGACAAAAACAAGCACTGTAAAAGGTACAATCTGACATTCAACTGTTCCTACCTCCACACTTATAGCACTCGGAAACATTTGCTGCACAGTTACGTTCAAATCGTCCGGTAGACTACCATCCTCGACAATGGTAGACCCATCATTGAATTTCCTGTTAAAACTGGGCTGGTTTTGGCTATCATATACGATGATGATTATCCCTGGAGGGTAGTGGCACTGGTCCACCTGCATCTCCAGTCTACTGTACCAGTCACACTCCAGGGCTGTACAGGCTTGGATTGTGTTGCACAGTAGAGTACCACTATTAGATATAGACTGGAGAGCTGCACATGTATCGTAAGAACTCGAACTGTCAGGTATGGTGGGCGCAGTAAACTCAATGGCAGGGGGAGGGGCAGTTGAGAGGTCAAGAGGTCGAGGAGGACTGCAGGAGGTGAGGTCCAGAATTATCTTGTGACGAGAGAGAATCTCGTTGTAGGCCTCACCGCTCTGTGCCACTATCTGCAGGGATAGAGAAGAAGAAAGAGAGAATGAAATGAGGGTCAAAAAAATACCACACAGCAGGGAAGGAAAGATATTTTGCACAAACGTCGATAAATGTGAAACTCTACCGGTAAAAAGTCAGCTGTATGTCTCATGAGAAATAGATAGGCGTAAGTAAAGTTTAGAGACTTGTATAAACATTCCACAAATGACTTCCAGGGCTCAATAGACTTGGGAAAGTCTGTGGCATTGTTGGTGTAAGGAAACTCTAATGCCAGAGTCCTGACTGGAGCAGATGAATATATACACACATCCTGTTAACTTTTGTAGCCAATCTGTGAATCTCTCTTACACTCAGTGTGCGAGCATTCTTCTTCTACACACCCACACATGCACTCACACACACACACACACACACACACTAACAGACACAGTTCAAGCACCCTTCTTCCTTCTTTTCACATACACACATACATATTATGTGTATGTAGTATATACATACCTGTATGTCCATGGAGTAGTTGTAGTACCAGACAGTGTAAATCACTGTCACTCCAAGATCACCCAGTGCACTCGTTGTATTGTCAGTCAATTCTGTAGGGTAGCTCTGACCATTGACCACCATCCCCAGTGTCAGTGTTGGAGGATTGTCACACTGCGAGATACTCATTGTCACTTGCTGTAGAGCACTGTCTTCCAAATTGCACAGCAGTTCACCAGTACATTCAGCATCGGTTGTATTGCAAGAGGACGAGTTCAGCCAGTACATGTCCTCAGCCACTGCCTTCATGGAGTCACACATACACTTTCCTGGGAGCAGAGGAAAGTATACTGGGTCCACTAGGGTCTGCCTGCCATGGCCAGGGCGATCAACATAGAGCTGAAGGAAAAGAAATTGCACATTAGACCATGTGATGGCAAGAGAAAAAAAGATGTGGAGCTCTGGACAGCTGTTATGCTGCTTGTTGGCACTACACAATGCACAGGAGATGCTACACATTCAGGGCTCAAGATACCATCAGAACATCCACAGATGCTATATGTATAGTCGGTTTATAGAAGAAAATTCCAAAACGCTCAATAACATTACATCATGTGCAAAAACATACAGATGATGTTTGTGTGCATCAGGCAGCATAATAAGGTGTACGTAGATACAGCCCACTATATGTACCTATGACCTAGTACACAGTCTTATATACTATGTGTGGCAATGCACATTTCGATGTATGGTAAAGTCAGTGCACAATCAAATGGGGTGTAGGCAATGTTTGTACATGGGTTAATCTACACTAATGCTGCCTTAATGAGCACAAACATTGGCATGTACGTACACTGTTATCCAAATGTATTGTGTCATCCCATGCTCAATAACTATAGAACGGTGCAGCACCAAATGATTGGGGGTGGCCTGAACCTTTCTATTTCCAGTGAGCAGGTACGGAGAGGTCAACAATTCTAAATTCCATGACTCTATGACTAGCCTAATCCCCACGCTCAAAGGGGACGTATGGTACACAAAAACACTGCATTTAGAATTCAGACCTCTGAGATACTTTTGCAGCATGCTCATACCCCGATAACGTGTTCGTGGGTGTGGCTCTGTCAGGCCAAGCTATAGTAAGATCGTAGCAAGCCAAACAGGATTGTCTTGTTCTATATATTGCCCCTGTCAACTAGTAGGCTCACCCCCCCTATGTATGTTGTATGTAACTTTCCAAAGTGAAAGCTTTGCCACGGGAAAAGTACTCTTCGTAGTGTGAGGCTTTGAGCTCCTTGTACGGACCTATCGGATGGATAATATCGAATTTTAGCAACGTTTAGCATTGCATTGCTTTTCTAGGTTCTCAGACAAATGAACCAACCTAATCCGCCCTGCACGTAGTTTGAACACCCATGCCATGTTCAATTGGAGCACGCGTACATACAGTGTGTACAGGCTCATCTCCCCCTAAATGCTGGGTACGAGGCTATACAATGACTCACCTCAAATCCAAGGTGGCTGGCATTTCTAGCCAGTATCGCACTGTATCTGCCAGTGTCTTTTCTGACTTTGTAATTGTCCACTATCTCACTCTGGTTGTAGAAATAGAAAAAGTTAAAAGAGTTTGAAAGGTCCTCTATACAATCTCCATCATATGAAGTCCAGGTGGCATAGTTGACTTCAACTGTTACTGGATCTTTACATTCATCCACATCAACAGCGATATACGAGTTGTTCCAATGGCAGTCCACCTCTGAACACCCTCCCTCACGAAGGTCATAAACTGAGCAGTCGGGATGTGACTCAATGTAGCTGTGGACAGAAGAGCAGGGGTCCTGTGAAGAGACAGCGGGTGTCTGGGTACTGGTGGTGGAGACTGGTGTAGAGAGGTGAGGGAGGGAGGGAGGGAGGAGGGAGCAGAAACATAGTATTTTGACCTCTCTCAAGTCTTCCTGCGTGGCCTGCAAGACTCATCCATACACGCAACCATGTGTACGTCCATATAAAATGCCGGAAACAACCATCACTAGGTCAGCTACTTCATACAACACCAGTAGTTTATTACGGCTCTCTCGTGTGTGTGCATGAACGTTTACGAGCCGGCCCTTTACATGCATGACGTAAGTCAGGGAACGGACTCAACTCACCCCAGGGGAAAAAGACACAGAGCAACGGAGCTAGCAGTAGCAGAAACCCTCTCATCCTTTATTTGGCAGGCAGTAGCCTCGACAGTAGCAGGTCAACAGCACACCGCTCTGAAGTGGCAAAGGGGCTCTAGTGCATTAAGGCCTGGGTGCAAGATTTTTGTTTGCTTTGGGTGTATCATCAGTCTTAACTCCCTTACAAGTTGTGACCACGCCCATACCATTTGTTTGTTTACATGTAATTCGTATATATATGCGTTTAGGCGGATTGCTTACACTACGATCCAACGTGGAAATCTAATGACGCTTAGATAACTATCGAAACCGCGCCCAGTTTTGCGATAAAAACGGGCCTTGCATCTAAAACTGTCATGTTACTCACCTTCCCCGTTGGATAAACAGTCAGAGAACTTTGTCTTAACGCAAAAAAAGTAGTTCCGCCTAAGAGAAAACAGTTGTAGCGTCCGCGTTCCACGCATGCGCATATTCGTGAAATGACATCATCAATACGTACATGCTTGAAGTATAATTATACCAAAAAAGAAGATACAAAGGGAATAGAGACACACAAAGCTACATGACACCATCCCTATCTTTGTTCCATTGATTCATAGGCATATAGGGATGGTGTCAAGATTTGTTTGGACCTTGCTTCCTAGAGAAAGCCTTGATCTCTCGACACCACACCCACCAATTGCCTGTCTCGCGTCGGGACGACAAAATCTCAGCGATCTCTCCTCCACCAGCTCTCCAGGAGTTACCACTTGAATGTTGTACACACGACTAGCTATTTGTACTGAACCTGCTTGAACATGGAGAAACAAGAACATAAAACTTTCACTAACAGTTAGCTATATACCTAACCAGTTGTGGGTCATGGGCGGTCCCAGTCTCACACTCTTCTTCATCAAGACTGGAGATAGAGGTGGGGCAGGTGGGACTCACCCTCACCAGCAGACCGTCTAGAACAAGGGACGGACCCGTGGACACCCAACTCTGAATAATGCCCACCAAGTGGGTGGAGTTTGTGGTGGGGAAAGGGTTAACCAGAGTAGTGCGGTAGGTTGTTTTAGTGGGGTTGCCATGGCAAATAAACAATCCTTTTCTCAGGAAGGGTGTGGTTAATATGCCATTACTGCTGTTGGTACGTTGCGGATTAGCTATACGAATTTAGTTGAAATTGTAATTGCTCCTCGATGTGAAGAGCTTTCTCAACCTGTGTAGATAGACAGAACAAAAGAGTTTTAAGTGTGAGATAATAGGATGGTTTTTAACACAAAAAGGTACTTAATTACAAAGCAAGGACACACAATAGCGTAGCATTCTCACATAAAATGTATAAGCCTGAATTTTATAGTCTAAATGGTGTAAAAAAACACCAACATAACTCGGAAAATTAACATGCTAATTGCGTCATGGTAGGCATTATTATTGGGAAACTAGCAAGCTCAAAATAAGGTCTGTGAGTAATGTGATGGGTTAGATAAAAGCTACTAGAATACAGACTGTTAAACTTACTCCCCAGTCCACACAGTAGCCAATGGGTCCAAACTGCATCTGAAAAAGCCATTCTTATCTGCAATGATAAATTGGTGTAATTTTTTGCGTGCACATTCCACATGATGCGATCAATGCAACTAATGTTGAATCCTAGATCAAATTAATGCTTGAGGGGTGTGGGAAGTGGTCGGAGTCAGACACATACAAATGGCTAAATATTCACAAGCAAAGCGAGCCAACGCACGCTCATAGAGCATACTTGCCATGATTAAACTTACGCGGTATAAATGTAGACAGCACTATCCATGTAATTTTGTGTATAACTGCTGAAAGCATTCTCTCACCAATAATGTAGTGTACTGCATTTTACCAAAAGTAAAGGTTTCTGTGGTCCCAAACCCTCTAACACCGTCAAGTATGATTTGGTACAGAGTGAAGATATGTTCGTATTCGTCTATTCCATCATCCAGTCCTACATCTTCTTCTAGTACAACAGTGGCAGAGGTTGTATATACCAGCTGGCAGGACGAGCGAAGATTCACTCATCACAGTTCCAGTAAGATTGGAAATACTGACGTGACTCAGAGTAGTTGGGAAGGACAAGTTTACATTCCATGAGATCCTGACTACAGAAATATATGAGGCGTTGAATTCAGCTAGAGATGCTACTGATACATCACTACTTCCAGGATATAAGAAAATGGTATGTCAAGAATGCTTTGAAAATGAATAGCTAATGAGGGGTAAGACACCTACACGCAGGTCTCTTAGCGACAAGATACCTGCGGTTAGGTGGCTCACTTCTAAACTGAGACCCTCCCGTTTACAGTACGCGCAGACCAGGGCGTCCAGAAGCGATGATCACGAGCTGAGACTCACTGCTCAGACCTCGCCCTGACTCGAACAGTTGCGATGCTGCTAATAACAGTGATTCTCAGTCATCGTCGACGAAGTCTTCGACAGTGCCCAGTGCCCAGTGTGGAACCAGGAGGCCTCTCCCCTGCCGGGCTATGGTAGAAAAGTTGAGACGCCGCCGCTAATAGTCAGTATCGTGGATTGCGCCCGGTATCGGCTTGGGAGAACTCTCCTCCGCGGTGCTTACTTCAAAGAGCTGCTACCAACCAAGGTTGAAGGCGGACGAGCTACAGCCAACCGTACCGCTATCCATTTTCTTAGCAACTAAGACGCCAATGTGCCTTCTTGGTTCTGCAGCCCTTGTGGTCGGGATTCCAGCCTCCCACGATGGCTTTAGAACCACGAAGACACTAGTCTTACCTATACGTATGCTTCAAATTGGAATTGAATCAGCTCATCTCCTCTGGTATTAAATTATGTGAGCTCAAATTATACCTTGGATGATGATGTTGGCTAAAGCAAATGAAGGCTTGTGGTTGGCCACAGTAGCTACACATGTAGTTTCCACCTGCAGACAAGTACAAAGTGTGGGTGTACTGTGCAGTCACTGGGTCATTCAACACAGTCTGGGTTCCTTGGGTGATAGTGGTGGAGTCTCTGGTCCAAGTGACAGTGGTAGCTAGCAGGTCCACCAGTGGAGATACAGGCCAGGGTGAACCGAGGACTGGCTCCAATGATGTCATTAGTTGCCTTAAAAGTAGGATTACCTTCTACACAAATGGCACCTAAGTATCGGCGGTTCACAAAACTTTAAAGATTGGTTTAAACATTACTTACCTCCTCCACTGTTGTATAATCCAACAGATAGTGTCAGAAGAGTGTCGGTATTATCGTTTAATACATTGATATATTCCCTCAGCTGGATCACCCGTTTCGATGTTTCTTAAAAGTCTCACTATCTTGGGAGCTCTGTTTCTCACTAGACCAGGAACAGCAGAGTAATCTATATATGGATCAAGTCCCAAACCAGTTTCCTCGAGAATTGGGCTTTTCGGGAGGTGGTGGACGGTTTGTATGACACAATAAGGCATGGTAATCAGTGGACCCAATATGACTGATGTTTACATAGCCATTATTAGGGATGACAGTTCCATTCAAAGATAGGGAGATGTCTGTTAATCATAATTGATGTGTATAACATACAGAAAGAACTCAGGTCAAATTTTAACTTACTGTCTGGAGTGTCAATTGAGGAAGGATGACTGTAGACCCTGGCACCAACACTGTTCACTGCTGCCACTTGCACAGTGTAGACTGTCTCTTAAGTCAGTCCAGTGATTGTGGTGTATCCTCCACTAGAGTCTCCTGACACCGTCTGGACAGTCCTGTTTCCTCTTCCTTCCTCCCCATACCTCACCAAGTAGCCTGTTATCTCTCCATTCTGATGTCTGCATTCCACTGGCCCCCAGCTGACTTTGATGCTAGTGACAGTTTCCACTTTTACTATCATTGAAGTGGGGGCTTCTTTCATTAATTTGATGCTGATCAACATGAGAACAGCCAATTGAAACGTTTCTTCATTAATGTACTACAAACCCAGTCACCACAGAGCCTCTGCCAGTGATGGTGATTGATGTGGAAGATGTTCTTGGGGACGTGTGAAGAACTGGGGCTTGGAACGGAACTGGGAATTTATATTGTTACATGTCAAATTGGTGTATAATAATAAATTATGCCACAAACATTGACATACCTAAACCAATAGTAGGTGTCTGCACAGGCTCACTAGGTAGACAAACTGATGACATGCCAACAATGAGTATAGCATACATTTCTCCACTCCTTAGCTCAGACAATAATTATAAAGCTGCTGGTAGAGCTTCCACTAATAGTGACACTTCCCTACGACTGCCACCAGTGTAGGAGATGGTGTAGCTATTGGTGTCTCCCAGAGGAGAGGGAGGAGTCCAGGTCACTGTGATATTAGTGGGACTACTCTGGACTGCCGTAACGTCAGTGGGAGGGAAAGGGGACTGCAAAAAGCATAATTATTGTAGTGAATGCAAAGACCTTTCAGTTAATACCTACTTTGTAAACTGATACTAGCTGAAGCAGAAGTTGGCTTGTGAATGGCCACAGTACATGTGTATACTCCAAGGAATCTCCGAGTCACAGTCAGAGTGTGGGTGTACTGTGCAGTCACTGGGTCGTTCAACACAGTCTGGGTTCCTTGAGTGACAGTGGTGGAGTCTCTGGTCCAAGTGACAGTGGTAGCAGGTCCACCGGTGGAGTTACAGGCCAGGGGGAACTGAGGACTGGCTCCAATGAGGTCTGAGTCCAGAGTGAGTGACATTCCTCCAATTCCTGAAATTATAGCCTCCCCATAATATCAGTGAAACAAAACATAGGGAATACTAACAGACTCAGCAGATTCACCTATAAGGCTATCATGCTTCATTATAATATGTGTAATGTCAAGAATATTATGTACAGCAAGAAACATACCTTCACTGCCTGGGTATAGTCCTGTATCCCTTACTGAGGGGTCAGTATCATCATGGAAAGCATTAGTCGGAATATCACAACGATAGATTCCACCTGGCGAGTTAGGTCTATTTCGACAACCTAGGTAAACCCACTGAAATCCACGTTGCTCATAGATATCACCATCTCCAGCGAATGGCAGTCTATTCCATCAGGGAAATACCAATCTCCACGTTGGACTCCCTGAACTCCACTACAACATGTGCTCAGGTTAGGGACGCACTCAACACTTTCACCACCACGATGATCTCCCACTAGACTGAGGTTCACATAGGAATGGTTGGCCAGAGTATGACCCATGAAGGAGACATAGGGAAAGGTCTGGCAGTAAACATCTCCCACTGAGCAGCAGACCAACATCAGCCATAGCAAATGGATCACAGCCATGTTTCTCTATTCGCACAACTGCTAAGTTAACTGTAGCAGTAGCCGAAAGGATTATCAGTACTACTACCCACCCCCATTATGGATTTAATACTCTGAACAAAAAAAACCAGCAAAAGAGAAGTATTGATTATCAGTACTACCGATCCACCCACATTACGGAGAGGATGATGAAAATGGTGGTTTACATTAGAAGTAATCTCAATACACCTAACAAGAAACAACTGGCAAAAGGAAGTATTGGTTATCCGACATATAATCTTTTCCATGCACCAGCATGAAGAGGATGAAAATTGAATGATTACCATAGATTTGGTCAGAAAAAACAGCAGTAAAATCTCCATGAAAACACAGAAGACCTACAAAAAATGTGAAATAATATACTACTATTTCTCTTCTAGTGTTTAGTCAAGTTTGTGTTTCTTCTTCTCATTTTTAACAATTTCTCCAATTTCTTTGAACATGATCTTATTCACCATATTTGGTAAGTCATAGGGTGGGGTCCAGTCCACAGCTTCCCTGGCAGCAGAGTCCAATGGCGTGTCTGGCCAACTATCAGCTGAGAGGGAGAGGGGATGAAAAGAAAGATGGAGGGGATTATACTGACTAGTCGCATGTATTGTGCCATGCAAATGGTGTAATTTTGCACTTGTGTTCATTCTCTCATCAATGAAGTACAGCCTTGTTTAAACTTAAGCAGAAAAGCATACACCAGTAGTTACGTCCAATTCCAGTCTAAGCTCCTCCCACTAGTCTCTGTAGGCCACGACAAATTCTGCAATGTGTTTCTTCATCTCCTCCACCAGCTCTCCCGGAGTGAAACCAACACAATGTATATATATCCTGTATTGAACTTGCTTGCCTATACTTATTAGCACTACAGCAGCATAGGAACATGGGGAAACAAAAACATTAAGCTAGAACTTTCACTACAGTTATGTATCTATCTCAAAATTCACAGCATTCTCTATGAGTGTGGTTCAACAGCCTCCGAGATGACCCACTGTTTCTTACCTTTTTGGTGCTTCAAGCCATCCCTATATCCCCATCATATTTTTTTTCCACTTGTGTACATGGATGCGTTGAGATGACTATGTTGGTGGGCTCACTTTGCTTGCCAACAATCGTATCTCACAATGTTGGATAGGAGTAATGATGCAGCCAGAACAGTTACAAATGTTTATTCGACCATTGTGTAGCCCTTTACCTGTAGGAAACTCAAAAATATAGGGTGTTTAAATGTCAACCTATCAAAAAGAAGGCGAATGAGAGGACACCTAGCTACATAGAGACAGAAAGTTATTCACAGCCCAATTGTTGCTGGTAAATTGTATAAATTGTGAATGCCCCCAGAGAAGGACATAAACCTTATGATTAAAATGCACCTTAGGGTGTTCTGTATCACAACTCAAAATCAAACCCTCAGCAGACCATGCATGCACGGTACCGCTGAATGTATGGGTGTGGCTATACTATTGGTGTGCTGCTAGTTTCTTTGCGGACAGTCCCTCTTAGCAGTTCATTATTAAACCCAAAATCATTTGCACTATACTCCCTGTACATGCTATGTGGTAGGATAATGCAATATTAACACCTCCTTCTAAATATTATGGACCTACCCTTCTGTGACGAAGTATGTGGAAAATCGTGACAAGGTTCCCAGTTTAAAATATCAATTGGTGGCTGAAGCAAACTTCCAGCTTCTTTTTTCATATGATGGCGCAGTCAGCGTGCCAAAATAATCACTAATAGTTTTCATGTGCATTGCTCCCAAAACAAAAGCTCTTCTATATATTTAGCTAAAGAGTCACACTATCTAAGCTACACTAAGTACCACGTCAACAATTAACTACAGTATCGATAACCACTTTCTCACTCAGAAGGAGCTTGACGGTTGACTGCACCTGTTGTTTCTTCTCTGGCACACTCTCTGTCTCCTTATTTTGATTCTTGGAATCAGTGTAGCAGGTGGTAGGATGATTCTTATCAGGACGGAAGACAACAATAAACAGCTTTGATCCGAAGATGAAGCACAGAACTCCGAAAGCACTCATGGTGATGAACAGGGATATGGCAGCATTCTGGATCTCTGGTTGGGACTCTGTTGTGAAGTAAGTTGGTATTAGTCCAACCCACACCACAAGGAGAGAGAAAGTACAGAACGATATGTACTTTGCTTCGTTGAAGTTTTTCGGGAACTTGAAACTAAAGACTCCGAGAATAGTGGCAACTGCAATAATGCAGGTCTCATAGATCAGTGACAGTGCTATAACGGCAGTTTCTTCCCTCCTGCAAGTGATGATAACCTCTGGCAGTCCGAGACGACCTTCACTGTCCTGGTCATAGCGCAATGTACGCAGCACGTCAGGATGAACAATAGCCACAGAGATGATTATTGGTATCATCTGAATGGCGACTATTATCAATGTGAAGATGACTTGATAGATGGGAGTTGCAAACCGAGGTTTGTAGTGGATGTTTCGTTTCACTCCATAGAATATCCTGGCAACTCTCTGGGCCTTGACGGCTAGTGCAGCAAACATGAGAGAGTAGCAGAACCAGATCCCCAGTCGGTTCACCAGGCAAATGGGGATGGAGGGAGGGGCCACATAGAAGAAGGGGAGGACAAAACTGCAGCATATACCAACCAGGAGAAGGATCATCTGCTCACGGCCAGAAGATTTGGTGACTGGTGTTTTCCAGTAAACTCCGAAGATGACAGTAGTGGCAGCCACACACAAGACTCCGATGCAGGCGATAATGAGGCTGGGGATGGCCCAGGGGTCACTGTACATGGCTGAGGTCTCTGGAATTGTGACACAGCTGTTGCTACCTGAAAATGGATTGTTTCCCCACATCTCCCCCGTAGCAAGACAGCTATTGCATTGTTTTGCTTTAGGTTTAGAAGAGAAGTTTGCCCCTAGACAGGGTTCGCAGAGAGCACAGCACGATCCTGGAATATCTCTAACATACATGCCTGGACTACATCCACCACACTGGGATTCAATTGGTTCTATTCTCAAGCTGTTGTCACTCTTCAGACCAAACTGCATGTCTGTGCCGTTCACGATTGTCAGCTTTCCACTAAGCCAAGTCCCAACTGTCACATACTGGTAGCCAGTTATGTCTCCAGTACTGGAGAAGGTAGCCTGATACTCCGATTACACCGACGGCAGTAGTGTTGAATTGGTGTACAACGTCGATTGCCCCGGCCCAGCCGTCGCTTGCGATCCACGTGAACTTCGTTCTTAGCGTATCGTTGCTGTTGACGCGCCACAAACTCCTTTGTGGCAAAGAAAATCACGACATTTGCCTTCGAGTTACCAAGATCCACAACTAGTTTGCCAAAGTCTGTGTCACTAAAAGACGGTGGAATCCCGCGACGGAGGTCGATGCTAATCCTGGCGTCAGCCGATATGTTAACGAATTCGTATCTTCAGAGTGCAGAATGGAGACGTAGTTCCAACTAAATATCTTTAAGATATCAACTATTGCCAGCACTTGGAGGTCGTCCGATGGAACAGTACGACGGTACCGCGTGCTGTCGCTCAGTAGCGGGCTTGTGGAAGCGTAGCTGATCTGCGGCATGTGGAAGAGGCGGCCTAGTGAAGCGACAGGAACGGACACCCTGCTACCTTCAGCACCAACTATCCCAGACGTAGGGACATAAGCATTTGCAGGAGGCTCGGTATTGCATGTGCCCGTAGTACCAAGGTTCGTGTCGGTGATTATGAGGTCCATTGCTTCGTCCAGGCCCACCGTCTCGCTCAAGCAGGTGTCTCGGATGTCGTAGCCAAGCTCCACGCCCGGGAGGAGGTCTGAATCTGCGTTTATCTTGTCTATTGCGTACAGCATCGCCTCCATTTCTGTCGCTATCCGCACCTCTCCGCATAGAGCTCCTTCCCAATCTGACCGTTCTTCGTGGATCGGAAAAAGTCCGCCCAAAACAAATGTCCTGTTCGCGCGGCTGCGGATTCCACGGATTCTTCCACCATCTCTTTCCCGCAGAACCTCAGACGTGTTCATGTATTTGAACTCCGTATTTGTTCCTGAAACGAACAGTAATATCGCGCCAAGACTTACGAGTGGAATATACGACTGCATGGCGCCTTGGCATTTCATATGCTTATCTATTCACTGTAAATCCCTTATGTAGGTTTAACACACCAACAGTGTCTTAAGTAAAAGTTCCATTTCCAATTTTCAGATTTTCCACAAAATCATGTAAAAATCGGCCCTCTTCATCTAAATATTCCAAGAAAACAAGGTAGCTACATTTCAGCAAATGCAGAATTTAGCAAAGTTTTATAGTCAACTTCGGAAGTCAGGGTTCACAAATTTGTGACTGCGTAATACTATCCATACTACAGGGGTGGCAAATTTGTGAACACTGAAATTTTAGTGTGACAAATTTGTGAACCGCATGTTGGTATTGTTGTAAAAAGCGCCCATCAATTGAAAGGTTCACAAATTTGTCACCCAGTTGCTCGAATTTTCAACATAAATCTGCTAATTTTTTCTCTGAATCAAGTGTAAAATGACATGAAAGTGCTGAGTATTTTATGAAAATCAAGCAAAATATGAAAATTGGAAACGGAACTTTTACTTAAGACACTGTTACACCATAGTGTGTATATAGAACCTTAAAACTGTGCTGTTATTTCAAACTGCGCAGAGGAAATAGTGCATAGTATGTTGTTTGGACACGCCAGGATTGATTAGTTTGTTGATGTTGCGCAGCACCAAATAACACGTGTGCTATTTAATGACGTGAGATCATGGTATATCAAAACAGCACAGAGATAAAATTACGCATCAGGGTTAATGTGTCACATCAACACAGTGAGTGTAACAGGTCGGTTTTATACAAACAACACATTTTTTCGCACTGTACAACAGAATTATTGCTATAACACACATTTCATAATTTGCACAAATCTAAATACAGCACACTACTATTTTTGCACTTACACACCAGGATTTATAAGTGTGTTGATAATGGAGAGCCAATAATTATGACTGATGTTTACATAGCCATGATTAGGGACGACAGTTCCATTCAAAAATAGGAAGGTGTCTGTTAATCATAAATGATTAACCCTCTGCGCGCATGCGCAACGAAGTTTGTCTGTGTAGACGCTCATTCTGGCACTACAGGCTACGAGGTGGCCTATTAACGATACCAGCGGCTTCTGAACTATACGCGAGCCTGAAAATAAAAAAGGGCCTATATAGGGCTGAAACGACTGCGTTCCAAAGATATGCCGTGAAAACCAGCGAAGGAGCCAATATGCATAATCGCACTGGGCTCTCCACGACCTGATCCGCTAGCTCTGTATACGTTGAGGGCTCAGGAAGTCACAACGAATGGCATGTAGCTATCGACTCCCGCATGCTATCAGATAGTCGCGTGTGTGTAGCTCCGCACTCTCTCAATAGATCAATCATGGATCAGTCCAGAGAAGATGCCCTTCGTCGTCCAAGGGGAAAGAGATCATCGTGCCCGTGAGACTCCTGAGCAGAGAGGGGCTCGGCCTTCTCAACACCGACTGCGTGATAGGGAACGGAAAAGGGAACGCCTCGCCCCAGAAACAGCGGAGGAAAGGGAAGTACGACTAGCAAGACGTCGCGTACAAGCTAAATCGAGACTTGCTGCGGAATCAGAGGAAACGCAGCTCGAACACCTCCGAAGCTATCGAGAAAGGCGAATTGCTGCACAGTCCAGCGACGAGAGAGAGGCTCGCCTATTGGCTGCGCTCTTCCATATCTTACGGAGGCTGTATCTCTTTGCAATCTTCGTGGTTATAACGTTCAAGTTGTAACTAGGCTAGGATGGCTCGTGCATATACAGTCATTGTGTGCTCGCTCCCGCTCGCCAATAATGCCATACATTCGGCTAGTTTAGCCATAGCACCTAGCATCGGACGATGAACAGCGTGCGCGCGCTACGCGTATAGCCGTCGTGCGCGTGCGCAGGGATAGAAAACCACACGTATGCGCAATTAACACGCCGCCCCGCTCGCGCGCTCGGTGGCCGGAACCGCAATACAAAAACGGGGTTTCCACTGCAACCAAAGAAACCCCCCTGGAACCGCCACTGTATCTACTACCACGAGTAAACGCAAACGGTCAAGCCCATCAATTTTAGCAGTATCGCGCATGCGCAGTTCGCCGAGGGTTTTACTCTAGTGCTTTTCATTATACAGAAACTCAGGTTAATTTTTAAACTTACTTTCTGGAGTACCAGCACTGGTGAATGCTACCACTTGCACTGTGTAGACCGAGGTGTAGACTGTCTTTTTGGTCAGTCCAGTGATTGTGGTGTATCCTCCATTGGAGGGTCCTGACACCGTCTGGACAGTCCTGTTTCCTCCTCCTTCCTCCCCATACCTCACCAAGTAGGCTGTTACCTCTCCATTCTGATGTGTGCATGTGTGCATTCTACTGGCCCCCAGCTGACCTTGATGCTAGTGGCAGTTTCCACTTTAACTATCATTGAAGTGGGAGATGCAGTTGGAGCATGCGTGCAGAAAACGTGACAGTTATACATACTTCTGCCCTTCCTCTAGGTAGAAAGGCTGCGACAATCACTCTGTACTCAGTTCTTTCTTCAAGATCATCAGTGTGTACGTGGTCTGACTCACGGAAATACCATGTGACGTGGTGTTAGAACAGTTCAAGTTTCTGTTGGAATAGGAGACGGTGTAGGAGGTAACAGTTACGTTCTCAGCTATAGTCCACGAAATGGTGAGAGAAACAGTGGATGAGGTACTTACTGACAAGCTGGAAAGAGTGAGCCAATCATATATGGTTTAGAATAGATGAAGCACAATTGAGAGTTTCTTTGAGTCAAGCCCCAAACTCACCTGTAGTTTCCATACTAGTATTAAAGTATGGTCCAGTTCCTGCAAAGTTAACTGCTACAACTTGAACTGTGTACAGTGTAGCTGGAATTAGTCGAGAAACAGTGGCCTCACGGGCACCACCACTAATATTGACCAACATGTACTCTGTATCCTATTATTTGCGAGCGCAAGGTAGCTACTTCTTCCCAATGAACCGTGATGCTATTAGGAGTAATAGTACCAGGCCTTACTGAGGTAGGAGCCCCAGATGGAGCTGCAAACAGCACAATAAGAGTTAGGTATTATGAAATGTTTTTCTCACCATCTTCTTTAGTCATAGCAGCAACAGCATTGCTAACTGGCCCATTACCAGCTGCATTGAATAGTCTCACAGTTATGGTGTATATGTTTCCTGGCTCTGCACCAGTTATCGTATAGAGAGAAAAACGGCCTCTTTTATTAATTGGACGCTGGTCAACATCAGAACAGCCAATTGAAACGTTTCTTCACCAATGTACTACAAATCCAGTCACCACAGAGCCTCTAGGAACACTGCCAGTGATGGGGATTGATGTGGAAGATGTTCTTGGAGACATGTGAAGAACTGGGGCTAGGAACGGAACTGGGAATTTTTACATGTCAAATCGGTGTATAATTATGCCACAAACATTGACATACCTAAACCAATAGTAGGTGTCTGCACAGGCTCACTAGGTAGACCAACTGATGACATGCCAACAATGAGTATAGCATACATTTCTCCACTCCTTAGCTCAGACAATATAAAGCTGCTGGTAGAGCTTCCACTAATAGTGACACTTCCCCTATGACTGCCACCAGTGTATATAGGAGATGGTGTAGCTAGTGGTGTCTCCCAGAGGAGAGGGAGGAGTCCAGGTCACTGTGATATTAGTGGGACTACTCTGGATTGCCATCACGTCAGTAGGAGGGAAAGGGGACTGCAAAAAGCATAATTATTGTAGTGAGTGTGAAGACCTCGCTGGCAATGCCTACTTTGTAAACTGATACTAGCTGAAGCAGAAGTTGGCTTGTGATTGGCCACAGTACAAGTGTATACTCCAAGGAATCTCCCAGTCACAGTCAGAGTGTGGGTGTACTGTGCAGTCACTGGGTCGTTCAACACAGTCTGGGTTCCTTGAGTGACAGTGGTGGAGTCTCTGGTCCAAGGTGACAGTGGTAGCAGGTCCATCAGTGGAGATACAGGCCAGGGTGAACTGAGGACTGGCTTCATTGAGGTCTGAGTCCAGAGTGAGTGACATTCCTCCAATTACTGAGATGCCTCCCGAAATAATAGCCTACCCATAATGTCAGTGAAACAAAACAGGGAATACTAGCAGGTTCACCTATGAGGCTATCATGCTTAATTATGTGTAATGTCAAGAATATTGTGTACAGCAGGAAAACGTGCCTTCACTGCCTGGGTATAGTCCCACATAGACTGTATCGCTTACTGAGGGGTCAGTATCATAATGGACAGCAATAGTTGGAATATCACAGCGATAGATTCCACTTGGTGGGTTAGGTCTCTTTCGACGACCTGGGTAAACTCTCTGAAATCCACGTTGCTCATAGATATCAGCGAATGGCAGTCTAGTTCCATCAGGGAAATACCAATCTCCACGATGGATTCCCTGAACTGCACTACAACATGTGCTCAGGTCAGTGACACACTCAACACTTTCACCACTATGATGATCTCCCACTAGACTGAGGTTCACATAGGAGTGGTTGGCCAGAGTCTGACCCATGAAGGAGACATAGGGAAAGGCCTGGCAGTAAACTTCTGCCACTGACCAGCAGAACAACATCAGCCATAGGAAGTGGATCACAGCCATGTTTCTCTATCCGCACAACTACTAAATAAACTGTATCAATATCCAAAAGGATTATCAGTACTACTACCCACCTACATTATGGATTTAATACTCTGAACAAGAAACAACCAGCAAAACGGAAGAAAATATTATCAGTACTACCGATCCACCCACATTACGGAGAGGGTAATGAAAATGATGGTTTACAATACAAATAATCCTAACAAAAACAACTGGCAAAAGGAAATATTGGTTATGCTACATATTATAATCTTTTCCATGCACCAACACCAAGAGGATAAAAATGGAATGATTACCATAGACATGGTCAGAAAAAACAGAAGTAAAATCTCCCCTTCTAAATATTATTGATTTACCCTTCTGCGACGGAATCTGGGGAAAATCGTGACAGGGTTCCCCAAATAAAATATCTATTGAATTTTAAAGTATCAAATAGTGGCTGAAGCAAACTCCCAGCTTCGTTTTTCATAAGATGGCGCAGTCAGCATACCGAAATAATCACTAATAGTTTTCATGTGCATTGCTCCCAAAATATATACAAACTCTTCTATTTAGCTAAAGAGGTGTCACACTATCTAAGCTACACTAAGTACCACGTCAACTATTAACTACAGTGTCGATAACCGCTTTCTCACTCAGAACGAGACTTGACGGTTGACTGCACCTGTTGTTTCTTCTCTGGCACACTCTCTCTCTCCTTATTTTGGTTCTTGGAATCAGTGTAGTAGGTTGTAGGATGATTCTTATCAGGACGAAAGACGACAATAAACAGCTTTGGTCCGAAGATGAAGCACAGGACTCCGAAAGAACTCATGGTGATGAACAGGGAGATGGCGGCATTCTGGATCTCTGGTTGAGACTCTGTTGTGAAGTAAGTTGGTATGAGTCCCACCCACACCACAAGGAGAGAGAAAGTACAGAACGATATGTACTTTGCTTCGTTGAAATTTTTCGGGAACTTGAAACTAAAGACTCCGAGAATAGTGGCAACTGCAATAATGCAGGTCTCATAGATCAGTGACAGTGCTATAACGGCAGTTTCTTCCCTCTTGCAAGTGATGACAACCTCTGGCAGTCCGAGACGACCCTCACTGTCCTGGTCATAGAGCAGTGTACGCAGCACATCAGGATGAACAATAGCCACAGAGATGATTATTGGTATCATCTGAATGGCGACTAGTACCAACGTGAAGATGACTTGATAGATGGGAGTTGCAAAACCGGGGTTTGTAGTGGATGTTTCGTTTCACTCCATAGAATATCCTGGCAACTCTCTGGACCTTGACGGCTAGTGCAGCAAACATGAGAGAGTAGCAGAACCAGATCCCCAGTCGATTCACGAGGCAGATGGGGATGGAGGGAGGGGCCACGTAGAAGAAGGGGAGGATGAAACTGCAGCATATACCAATCAGGAGAAGGATCATCTGCTCACGGCCAGAAGACTTGATGACTGGTGTTTTCCAGTAAACTCCGAAGATGACAGCAGTGGCAGCCACACACAAGACTCCGATGCAGGCGATAATGAGGCTGGGGATGGCCCAGGGGTCACTGTACATGGCTGAGGTCTCGGGAATTGTGACACAGCTGTTGCTCCCCGAAAATGGACTGTTTCCCCACATCTCTCCTGCTGTGAGGCAGCTGTTGCATTGTTTTGCTTTAGGTTTGGAGGAGAAGTTTGCCCCTAGACAAGGCTCGCAGAGAGCACAGCACGATCCTGGAATATCTCTAACGTACATGCCTGGCCTACATCCACCACACTGGGATTTAATTGGCTCTCTTCTCAAGCTGTCATCGCTCTTCAGACCAAACTGCATGTCTGTGTCGTTCACGATTGTCAGCTTTCCACTAAGCCAAGTCCCAACAGCCACATACTTGTATCCAGTTATGTCTCCAGTACTGGAGAAGGTAGCCTGATAGTTAAAAATCTCGTACGACCCAAGTACACCTCCAGAATCATCAAACATGATGGACGTGTTTGTGATGTTGACTTTGTCAATGTACTCCAGTAAGGAAGTACCATTAAGCTCTCGTGTCTGGCCAAGGCATGTAGAGTTCTCATTAAACCACACAAATGGCGCAGAGCCTGTTGCTTTGCAGTTTTCAGCAAGAAACTTTATCAAGAGCGTAGGCAAACACATATACCGCATCCACCACTAGTGCTATGAAGCTCTCTTGCTGGTATTGCGGGAAGCTAGTGATGTTGGTATTGTTGTCACAGTCGTATCCCAGCGTACAGTTGGCAAAGGCAGCAAAAAATTCGGGGAAAAAAGTCGTTGCGCTTGTTAGAGTTTAGTGTCAGCTTAGATATGTAGTTGTCAAAGTCACTAAGGGGCTGTGTGAGGGGAGCTACTCCGATTACACCGACGGCAGTAGTGTTGAATTGTGTACAACGTCGATTACCCCGGCCCAGCCGTCGCTTGCGATCCACGTGAACTTCGTTCTTAGCGTATCGTTGCTGTTCAGACCGCGTCAGGACTTCCGCCACAAACTCCTTTGTGGCAAAGAAAATCACGACATTTGCCTTCGAGTTACCAACATCCACAACTAGTTTGTCAAAGTCTGTGTCACTAAAAGACGGTGGAATCCCGCGACGGAGGTCGATGCAAATCCTGGCGTCGGCCGATATGTTAACAAATTCGTTTATCCCCGCAGACCCGTACGTATCTTCGGAGTGCAGAATGGAGACGTAGTTCCAACTAAATCTCTTTAAGATATCAACTATTGCCAGCACTTGGAGGTCGTCCGATGGAACAGTACGACGGAAGTAGCTGTACCGCGTGCGGTCGCTCAGTAGCGGGCTGGTGGAAGCGTAGCTGATCTGCGGCATGTGGAAGAGGCGGCCTAGTGAAGCTACAGGAACGGACACCCTGCTACCTTCAGCACCAACTATCCCAGACGTAGGGATATAAGCATTGGCAAGAGGCTCGGTATTGCATCTGCACGTAGTACCAAGGTTCGTGTCGGTGATTATGAGGTCCATTGCTTCGTCCAGGCCCACCGTCTCGCTCAAGCAGGTGTCTCGGATATCGTAGCCAAGCTCCACGCCTGGGAGGAGGTCTGAATCTGCGTTTATCTTGTCTATTGCGTACAGCATCGCCTCCATTTCTGTCGCTATCCGCACTTCTCCGCATAGAGCTCCTACCGAATCTGACCGTTCTTCTTCGTGGATCGGAAAAAGTCCGCCCAAAACAAATGTCTTGTTCGCGCGGCTGCGGATTCCACGGATTCTTCCACCGTCACTTTCCCGCAGAACCTCAGACTTGTTCATGTATTTGAACTCCGTCTTTGCTCCTGAAACGAACAGTAATATCGCGCCAAGACTTACGAGTGGAATATATGACTCCATGGCGCCTCGGCATTTCATCTCCTCATCTATTCACTGTATATATGACTGCATGGCGCCTCGGCATTTCATATCCTCATCTATTCACTGTAAATTCCGTTATGTAGTTTTAACACACAAAGTGTGTAGAACCTTAAAACTGTGCTGTTTTTTTTTCGAACTACAAAGAGGAAATAGTGCGTAGTATGTTGGTTGGACACGCCAGGATTCATTAGTGTGTTGATGTTGCGCAGCACCAAATAACAAATGTGCTATTTTAAAAATGACGTGCCTTGGTGAGATCTTGGTATATAGCTATATCAAAACAGCACAGAGATAAAATTACACATCAAGGTAAATGTGTCACATCAACACAGTGAGTGTAACAGGTCGGTTTTACGCATTTTATCATAGCTAAGCACAGTTTGTGTAAAAAGAACACTATTTTTGCACAATAATCTTTCCATGCACCAACATGAAGAGGATGAAAATTGATTGATTACCATGGATTTGGTCAGAAAAAACAGCAGTAAAATCTCCATGAAAACACAGAAGAGCTAAAAAAAATGTTAAATATACTACTATTTCTTTTCTAGTGTTTAGTCAAGTTTTTGTTTCTTCTTCTCGTTTTTTGAACACGGTCTTATTCACCGTATTTGGTAAGTCATAGGGTGGGGTCCAGTCCACAGCTTCCCTGGCAGCAGAGTCCGCAGCGTATCTGGCCAACTATCAGCTGAGAGGGAGAGGTGATGAAAAGAAAGATGGAGGGGATTATACTAACAGCAACCCTGACCTAGTCGCATGTAGCTACTGTGCCATGCAAATGGTGTAATTATGCACTTGTGTTCATTCTCTCATCAATCAATTGTTCTCTAGTACAGCCTTGTTTAAATTTAAGCAGAAAAGCATACACCAGTATTTACGTCCAATTCCAGTCTAAGCTCCTCCCACTATAATTATAGTCTCCGTAGGCCACGACAAATTTTGCAAAGTGTTTATTAATCTCCTCCACCAGCTCTCCAGGAGTGAAACTAACTGCTTGAATGTTGCATATACACATGACTGTCTGTATTGAACCTGCTTGCCTACTTATTAGCACTACAGCAGCATAGGAACCAGGGGAAACAAAGACATTAAGCTAGAACTTTCACTACAGTTATGTATCTATCTATAATTATACACCTCAAAGTTCGCAGCATACTCTATGAGAATAGTTCAACAGCCTGCGAGATATCCCATTGTTTCTTACCTTTTTGGTGCTTCAAGCCATCCCTATAATGTCCCTTTCATTCTAAAGATTTTCCACTTGTATACATGCACGCATTTAGATGATTTTATAGGTGGGCTCACTTTGCTTGCCAACAATCATATCTCACAATATTGAATGGGAGTGACGATGCAGCCAGAACAGTTACAAAAAACTGTTTATTTGACCATTTTGTATAGCCCTTTACCTGTATATAGGCAACTCATAAATGTTTGCGAATGAGAGGACACCTACACAGAGACGGAAAGTTATTCACAGCCCAATTGTTGCTGGTAAATTGTATATAAATTGTGAATGCCCCCAGAGAAGGACATAAACCTTATGATTAAAATGCACCTTAGGGTGTTCTGTATCACAACTCAAAATCAAACCCTCAACGGACCATGCATGCATGTTACCGCTAAATGTATGGGTGTAGCTATACTATTGGTCTGCTGCTAGTTCTTTGCGGACAGTCCCTCTTAGCAGTTTATTATTAAACCTAAAATCATTTGTACCATGCTCCCTGTATATACATGCTATGTGGTAGGATAATGCAATATTAACACCCACTTCTAAATATTATGGATCTACCCTTCTGCGACGAAATATGTGGAAAATCGTGACAGGGTTCCCAGTTTAAAATATCAATTGGTGGCTGAAGCAAACTTCCAGCTTCTTTTTTCATAAGATGGTGCAGTCAGCATGCAAAAATAATCAATAAGAGTTTTCATGTGCATTGCCCCCAAAACACAAACTCTTCTATTTAGCTAAAGAGTCACACTATCTAAGCTACACTAAGTACCACGTCAACTATTAACTACAGTGTCGATAACCACTTTCTCACTCAGAACGAGACTTGACGGTTGACTGCACCTGTTGTGTCTTCTCTGGCACACTCTCTCTCTCCTTATTTTGGTTCTTGGAATCAGTGTAGTAGGTTGTAGGATGATTCTTATCAGGACGAAAGATGACAATAAACAGCTTTGGTCCGAAGATGAAGAAGCACAGGACTCCGAAAGAACTCATGATGATGAACAGGGAGATGGCGGCATTCTGTTGTGAAGTAAGTTGGTATGAGTCCCACCCACACCACAAGGAGAGAGAAAGTACAGAACGATATGTACTTTGCTTCGTTGAAGTTTATCGGGAACTTGAAACTAAAGACTCCGAGAATAGTGGCAACTGCAATAATGCAGGTCTCATAGATCAGTGACAGTGCTATAACGGCAGTTTCTTCCCTCTTGCAAGTGATGACAACCTCTGGCAGTCCGAGACGACCCTCACTGTCCTGGTCATAGAGCAGTGTACGCAGAACGTCAGGATGAACAATAGCCACAGAGATGATTATTGGTATCATCTGAATGGCGACTAGTATAAGAAGCGCGTAACGAAGCCGCGCATGCGCACTTATACGACGTACGCGGTCGCATATAAATCGCGCCGTTCGCACCACTAGGTTAGCTCGCTCCCGCTCGCCAAGTAAGCTGGGATAATTTACGTTTCCATGAATATTCTATATATTCAAAGTGTTCTCATTGTTCTCATAAATATTAACTAGTAGGCGAATGCATGGCATTTTTGGCGAGCGGAAGGGAGCTTACAAATGGGGTCTAATCGTATGAGTCACTCTTGTGTGTGCACAAAACAGTGAGATACACGGCGTAGCAGCTGTAGGCGGGCCTCTCACTCCTCACTGGACTCAGCAGCAATTTGGCGCTTTGAAGCTGTTGGAGCCTGGCCTGATGTGCTTCCTCGGATTCTGCACCGCGTCTAGCTCTTGATCGTACACGACCTCTCGCTAGTAGCGCTTCCCTTTCCTCCGCTGTTTCTGTTGCCCGGCGTTGCCTTGCCCGTTCCCGATCACGCAATCGGCGTTGAGAAAGCCGAGCTTCTCTCTGCTCAGGAGTCTCACTGGCACGACGTTTTCTTTCCCTCTCTCGTCGACGACGAAGAGCATCTTCTCTAGACCGATCCATAACTCTCTCACACGCACAAATTATCAGGGGTGGAGCCTTCTGAGGGGTGGACGACGTACCGACGACGTACGGTGACATGCGCAGTTCGGCGACGTACGGTGAAAAATCGCGCCGTTCGGACCACTATAGGTTAGCTCGCTTCCGCTCGCCAATTAACCATTTTTAGCATCTCTTTTTTCATTGGGCAGTCCTGCTTCACATGTGAGAGAGCCACATAGCTATATGCTATAATTTGATGCCATAACTCACTTTTTGAATCTGACGGCAGATCTGAAAAGGAGTGAGGAAAGGGTTAAAATATTTTTGTCCCATATTTGCCGTAGTCGGTAAAGTTGTACTCCATTCTTTGAAAAGTTACTATAGTTAGTGAGATGGCTTAGGCAAGTGTTTTTATTAGAAGACAAAATAAGTGTTAGAATTTTGTCATTTCCCATAAATTAGGCATGAGTATTACCAGCAAACGCTAGTAAGGGCTTAATTGAGAAATATTACTAAAGATAGAAACAAGTGTGACGGTGTAGTTTTACCTTGGTGGGTGTGGCTACCAGGGCCAGTTTTCTTGCCAGACGACCTGTCGTCATCTTCTCTCTCCTCACACACTGACACACCCGATGACCCGTCATGTGACTTGTGGGTGCGGCCACCACTCTCCTCTTCTGTTGTTGCCGGGAGTGACGTTTGCTAGGGAACCGTAATAAGGAATGTAATTAAGAAAAGGAAGAAGAGACATTTTCTTACATGGATTTTTTCGTCTTTTTCTTTTTCTCCCAGGTTTGGGGGTGTTGTTGGTAGTCATGGAGACGTACGCAAGGTAACATCATAATGCAGTAAACAATACTGTATTGTTAACCTCTCATCCAATTGTTTCAAAATAGTTCGCAGTAGCAGCAGGGACAGTATCGTCTTGACGACCCCTCTCCTCCTCCTCCCCCTGCACCGGTCGTTGACGACGACGATGATGTCGCGGTGCCGTTAGCAACACTGGTACAGTAGAATGGAGACGAACATCTACATGGTAACCAGGAAGGACATTTGACAATACATTACATAATCAACCTGGTTCTATTGTACACATCATCCGGCTTTCAATAAAAAAGAGGGTTTTTTGCACATTTGTTTCATTGTCACAATTTTCACAAATGAAAAGCACTGAAGTGCAAACCCTCGGCGAACTGCGAATGCATGACACCGCTAACTGATGGGCTGGGCTATTTGTACGCGTTTACTCGTGGTCACCCGCTATTGGTCGCGGAGAGTCTGAGAGAGGCTGGCTACACGAATTGATAGGAGTCGATACACGCCCTTCGTTGTGACTTCTTTCTTTCTTTCCTTCTTCCTCTCCCCCCCTCTCTCCCCCTCTCCTTTTTTCTTCCTTCTACAGTTCACTCTCTACTAAAGCTACTAACACCCTTCCATCCTGCCTCTGCAAGTGGTAAATGAAAATGAACTGAAAATTGTCAAAACTAATAAGCAACCCTGCCATTATCCCCAGTATCTTCAAATTCAGTGAGAAAATCAACTAAAACTTATGCCAGTCTACCACCGCCTGCACAAACAACACATTTCCCGCATAACCTTATTTTACCACGAACCAATGATCACTTGAACACATGATCAGGCTTGTACCAAGTGAGAGTGTACTGTGCCACAGTTACTGAGGTTTACCTTTCGTTGAAGATTTGAACAACTACACCTGCTGAGTTGCCCCTACATACTAGGACAGCTCTTTTCGCTGGTTGTCCCATGTGCAGTTGATTTGTTTGCCTTCACTTCACACAGTCGGATGCACACAATAAATGAGCCACTAGCAAACTAAATCCCATTGCGCAAATCACTGATAATAAGTGTACGTACGTACGAAGCGGCCATCAAAATTATGTCATGAAGAAATGTAACACCATTAACTAGTGGGCTACATGTATACTATGTAGCTTGCCGGATTGTCTTACTATGGTTGTAACACATCCCATAGCTCACAACAGAATTAATGATGAATATGATCATTCTTTTAGCTCTGTGCATGATAAACTAATCCTACAGCAAAAGTTGCAATTCTGAACTAAGCCCGCCGCACACCTACACAGCCGTAATTATTATGATCAAAAACACAGGATAATGGTCCAATTAAGACAATATCTACAACAACAGTGTGTTTAAATAATATACGGTACAGTGGGTCTGAGCCCGCCATTGTGCATAAGGAAGTGACGTGTTTTAAATACACACCCACAATATTATATGCATTCCTTAGTCTTTGAAACGCACGTCGTATAATGAACCTTGGAGCTGCAGAAGATTTGCTATTGGTTAGAACGCTTGCTATTGGGAAGACTTAAAGCACATGAGTAACGGCATATAAACGGTGCGAATATCCAGTCTTAGTTAGAATAGACATGAACAGACTACTTAGAGAATGAATTTGAAAAAAATTAAAAATGCATGGGCGCAACTTCGAGAATGAATTAAAAATGGGATTTGCACTTCGAAAAAAAAACCCACTCCACCAGGCATGTGGCCAACTTGCCCAGTGAAGCGGGGGCACTCAGTATTGTCAAACAGAGAGTGGGTAAGGGGAGGAACCAGAGCTGTTCCCAGCCAGTGCTCTGGACCACCTACCAGCTTCCAGTCCCCACTTCTACTGATTGCGCCACATGAGTGACCCGAGAACAGTAGTTGAAATTTTGCCTTTATACCCACACTTCAGTGAGGTTGAAAAAAAAAGTACTAGCTGACAGGCTTGAACCCAGGAGGCAGGAAAATCTTGTTCCACTTGCAAGAGCTTTAGCCACTAGACCATCAACTCATGGCGTGAATGATATGTAGCATCCCTACCAGGCTGAATGCACTGGCAACCAACATAAAGCCAGCCACAATTCCTTAAAAAGGACATACATACTGAACCATACTGAAACTTGGAACAAAATATTTCCGTCGCCAGACACACACACAGACAGACAAACCAACTACTGTATCACATGCGCACCAAGCGTTAATAACATAGAAGGGTTTATCCCATTGCACATGTCTTGATGGGAGTGGTGATGATGGTGAGTGTGGTCATACGTCTGCAATAGAGAGTTATCATGCCAACTGTACCAGAGATCAGCAGACATGGTACTCCAGCACTTCCCTTCTCCCAGTTATTTCAGTGGAAGTACACCTCATAATGAATGACACCTCTCACTAGAGGATAGTATTTGGCTTATACTTGTATTTCCCTCAAGCACCTTCAGTGGAAGTACACCTCATAATGAATGACACCTCTCACTAGAGGATAGTATTTGGCTTATATATACTTGTATTTCCCTCAAGCACCTCTGACAATTTTTGATGTCCCTTTATTTCAGGGGATTTGCTGTAGTTGCTAACTGTATGTAGTGGCAAGAAAGGTCTGAATGTTTGCCCCATTTTGATGCAACGTTCAACAGTCGCACTCAGTAGTATGAAATATAGTACTCCCATTGTAAGAAAAGTTACTGCAACGTTCAACAGTTACTGTAGTTTTAAGTCAAAAGAATGTGTTGCAAACCAAACCACTCACATTTGACCAAAAGTAGGTGGAATAATGCCTCAAGTTTCCCCACAACCCACTATTCTCATTACCTCCTCCTCCACACAGGGTCTTGGAGTTCCATTCAACATCGCCAGCTACTCTCTACTGACATACATGATAGCTCACGTCTGCAAACTCAAGGTTAGCCACACCCCTCATAAACCTATGACATCATCATAACTAACTCCCTCTCCAGCCAGGAGATTTTGTACATACTCTAGGAGACGCACATGTCTGCCTCAACCACATCCAACCCCTCAATATACAGGTTTGTGGGATAATAATTGACATTGTCTGCTGCCAGCAAACCTTATTCCTCCATATCTAAGGACACTCCTGAAAATATAGACACTTACAGTAGCAGTTCTTGCATGCAATTTAACCTCTGAAATGCGGACACCTTACTTTATTCTCCCCATATATCGGTGTCAGGGTTATATAGAGGGGTTCCACTGTATAATGAACGTACCAAAACTTGCTAAACAGACTCTGATTGAATTTATGGTAATAATAAGACCATGGTAATGAGAGGGGCAGTGTGTCATTCCTCCATTCCTGTCCCCAGCTGCAGCGGAGCCCGAGACCATTCCCGAGACTGGAATTGAGAAGACAGGTCTCCGACATCGACAAGTTTTGTTTACGATGACATCATTCTCCACGACTACAATCCTCACCCCAAGATACACATGGACATGGCTGTCTAGCATCTTTTATTCCCTTTCCATGTTGATATGTACAGCTGCATTACCTTCAGTGAATAACAACTGCATGCATGCTAATCCCAAGGGAAACGCCCGGTGTCATAAAAATTTACACACCCCGTAAATACGGGCACCCTGGGTTCCCATATTCACGTGAATTCGGTAACCCCGTCGTGGAATTGGGGATCCCCGCGCGCGCGGAACGGGTAAAACGCCATCTTTCGCGGTACAGGTAAAATTTACTGCCAGCTCTTGCAATACGGGTTAACTCTACTGCACTTCCTATAAAAGAAGAGCGACGAACGCTGCGCATTCACAGAGCGCACTACTGCGAAGACGGCTAGATGGAAGAATTCGAAGAGGTCCCAGCCCCGCCTACGAATCATGGCGCCGCCGATGGGAAATTCTCATTCGGTGAGATTTTTATTCGCAGAAGATATCCAGAAGGAATTTCTAAGTCAGACAAAAATGCGCTCAGAAAGCGGACAAAGTTTTTCAGGGTGAACGACAAGGATCTGTACTACATTGGCGGAGGTATACGTATGTATAATAATTATACGTAGCCTATAATAGTACATGATTGTGTATGTATACGGCCATTGCAAAAAAGGTATAGTGAATTGAATACTTCTTATCATTTACACAGCCAAATCAACAGCACCTGTGACTCCTAGATTGGTCATAGAGGATGTGGAGAAGAGGAAGAGGATTATATCGAGCACTCATGATGCAAGCCATCTGGGCCTCAACAGAACGAATGACATAGTAGCTGGCAAGTATTACTGGCCAGGATTGTTCACTGATGTCAAAACATATGTAAGTTATAGGCATTGATAATTTTATAATTGCAATGTTAAATGATGTACACTATTTTCAACAATAAGGTTGAATCATGTGACCGCTGCCAACGTGGGAACAACAAGCTGAAGAAAGCTGTTGGTGGACTGCATCCGATCCCAGTGAAACCGCAAATATTTCATCAGTTGGGGATGGATTTGATTGGTCCCCTACCTGAGACAGCACAGGGTAACAAATGTATCATCACCTTGACAGACTACTTCTCCAAGTGGGCAGAAGCAGCACCTCTCCCTTCCAAGCATGCAGCTGGTGCTGCCAAATTCATCTATTCGGTAAGTATACATGTACAGACAAACAACAAAAATGATGAAGATCACTCACTGAAGACTGAGCCTCCATCCAGGTTGAAACAAAAGGTAAACCATCTTCTATTGGTGTGCATGTATGTGGCTCCGCTTGTAGTAATGAGTGCGTGGTTGATGGCGTGATGGCTACTGAGTATTATTACTATTATTACTCTGCATGTAGGCTGAGCTGAAGAAGGGTACACACTCAGAAAATGCTATTGACTTGGAGAGACATTATTCATCTTGCTTACTATAACCATAATATTTTGTTGCACATTATTCATCTTTTTTACTATTGTAAGTAGCTATATTATAATAATATGCTGTAGAGATAATCTTCAAGTCTATATAGCAAATTCTTATAGCATGCAAGGGGTGCCTTTTTTCACAAGGGGGTGCCTATATTTATTATAAATATGGACACCCGGGTAGCTAAAATTCCGTGAAAATAGGCACCCGGGTACCAATAATTCCGTGAAAATGGGTAGAGTAAGCCACCGATAATCGGACGCCATATATTCTCGGACGCATTTGTGAAGTCTGTGCAAGACTAGATTGGCTACTGTGTTTACCAATATGTAGTTCTTGGTCATAAACTGTTGTATAAAAATATTCGCTCTTATCCGAGCTTTACCGTGGGAATGACGTTGCCGTAAAGTTACGATTCGGGCACAGCAAAGATCGGACAAGCGCATCAATGGTAGGACAGTCTCCCAAAACGGGAACAGTATGAATGATCCAAGCGAGTGTATGCTCGATTGATAGCTGTACCTTTTGGCTATGCAGCGACCAACAAATGGCCCTTTTTTGTCTTCGCTCTTTTTGCTCACGAAAGCGCAAATAGGCGGGGTCGCGTAAGCCGCGTTTTACGCGAAAAGCAGTTCGCGGCTTGTTTCTTCTAACGCACGTGCCGGATGAAGCTCTAAATTTTTATTCTCGTTCTTCTTGCCTTATACTAGATGCTTGCACCACGATTTCCGTTTTTGTGAGATCTAACTTTTTATTGGTAATTACAAAAAATAATTATTGGTAATTACAAAAAATTAAAATCTTACAAAAACGGAAATCGTGGTGCAGGCATCTAATATAAGGCAAGAAGACACGAGGAAAATTTTATAGCTTCATCCGGCGGGTGTGTTAGAAGAAACAAGCCGAAAACTGCTTTTCGCGTAAAACGCGGCTTACGCGACCCCGCCTATTTGCGCTTTCGTGAGCAAAAAGAGCGAAGACAAAAAAGGGCCATTTGTGGGTCGCTGCATAGCCAAAAGGTACAGCTATCAATCGAGCATACACTCGCTTGGATCATTCATACTGTTCCCGTTTTGGGAGACTGTCCTACCATTGATGCAATTGTCCGATCTTTGCTGTGACCGAATCGTAACTTTACGGCAACGTCATTCCTGTGTGTGCTGTAGTGAGAGAGTGTGGCCTGTTGACTTATGTTTGTTACTAGGAGAATGTTGAGCTAGAGGGACAGCTGAGGAGAAAGGAAGCAGAGTTAGCTGAGGCCCAGGGCCAACTGAGACAGAATGTGAGTATGAGTCATGTTTAGTTGCAAGTCAATAAATTCTCTCTCTTTCCGACTGCAGGAGGAACAGCTAACAAGAATTCAGCAGTCTTTGCAATCCAGAAACCACGAACTAAGACAGAAAGTAAGTGTGCAAAGTATTGTGTGGCTATTTTAACACTTGTGCTCTCTATTTTGCAGGAAGAACTTCTACAATCCAGTGAAAGGGAGAAACAGATTGTTGTGCAACAATTGCAATCCAGAAACCAAGTGAGTGACTTACTTTCATCCATAATTATAGTAACCAGAGGATAGGGTTGGCTACTAACGAATGTGTGTTACAGGAGAACGTTGAGCTCCAACATCAATTAGAATCCAGTGAGAGAGAGAAACAGACAGTCAGACAACAGCTGATCAGCTCACAGAGACGGGTTAGTCAAGTCTGTGTGGAACTAATGCAGTGTAACGAGATCCTCCTGACTGCAGGAGACTGAGTTAGTGCAGGCCAAGGACAGGGAGCTAAGAGAGAAGCAGACAGTGAGAGATGAGCTAACAAGGAAGGAGAGAGAGTTAGCTGAGACTCAGCAGCAACTGAGACAGAAGGTGAATAGTGATAACTGCAGGATGTGTCATGTTTTGTGACTAGAGGTCCTCCTGACTGCAGGAGGAACTGCTGCGATCGGGTAAGGCTCTAGTGGCTGACTTCCAGAAGGCCCTTCAGCTGAGAGACTCAGCAACAGAGGTAAATGAACAGGATTAAAGTGCAAACCCTCGGCGAACTGCGCATACACGGTACTGCTAATTGATGGGCTGGGGGCTATAAGGCGTTTACTCGTACACGCCCTTTGTTGTGAGTTCTTGTGCCTTCACGATACACAGAGCAAGCAGACCCGGTCAAAGTGTGCCTGTGCTAATTAGCATATTGGCTTGTTGACTTGGTTCCATAACTTTAGAACACAGCACTTTTATGAAAATCAAATAAAGGCGGTGTTGCTCTGAACCCGTTGGTGTCGCTACCTGTTTGTTGCGCATGGTAGCAGGAAAAAAGTAGCGGAAGGAGAGACGGACAGACAGACCAAGTACTGTAACCCTCACTGCGCATGGGCGCCGAGGGTTAACAATCCTTAATTCATTGGCTATGAATCATATCCGTGAATATTGCTCTGTGTTTCCATCCTCTTTTGTCAGACCCGGCCTGCTCGCCTAGCAACAGCTGTACAACCAAGAAAGGTATATATT